GAAAACACCTGTGACAAATTTATTATTTCAGTATTAGCATCTTATACAATAATAACAAGTCAAACATTAAAAAATATGAAATAATTCACTGACCTGAGAGACACAAGACACCCAGCAAGATCCTCTCCATTATTGTGCAGCTCTGTGGACTGTTCGTGTCACTTTAAACTACTAAGAAGATTTTTGCATTTTTTATGCAAAAAGCAGTGTGATGGCAGACTGACAGGAAAATGTTTGTCATCTTGTGTCTGTCATGGGAATGTTTATTTGATGTGTTCAGTTCACCTGAATTACAAAACACACATGTTGTCACTTATTTTGGGTGGTTTCTAAATAATTAAATAAATATTGTATATATTTATTATATAAATCTAATTAATTTGTCATTTAGCTAACGTTTTATCTAAAACAACTTAGGTCACACTCATCTGGAGCAAGTAGGGTTAAGTGACTAATTGACTACAAATACATGTGTCTCATCTGCTGTGCAATCGGCACTGCACAACAAATCTCAACAACATTTTGAACAACACCAAGACACAGCCCAACGACACAACATTAGATATAAAATAATACCCTACATACATTTCAAGTGACACAAAACATATTAAATTATGATAATCAAAAATATTGTAGGCTTTTAAGATGGGCTGACCAGGACAACAACACAAACTGACAAAATAATAAGCATAAGTCAGCACCAGCTTCCAGTGTTGGGCAAGCTACTTGGAAAATGTAGTGAGCTAAGCTACTTCTTACTCTGCATTAAATGAAGCTTCACTACACTGAAGCAACACCCCAGTGAAATGTAGCAAGTTAAGCTATAGTAACATGGCAAAAGTAGTTTACTACATTTAAGCTACTTCTGTTTATATTGAACCTACTTCATTCCACAGTAGCAAAAGAATAAAGACCTGCTGAGTGTGTGAGTGAGTGAGATATATCTAAATCAGACGTACTGGGAGAAATGCCCAAATGCAAAATCATTGCAGCAACATGTATTTCCAACATGTAACCAGTGGAAAATCCAAATAATTTAGAAAATAAATAATTGTGTTTGTTTGTATAAACTTGCTGTAATATTGCATTATTATTATTATTATTAGTAGTAGTAGTAGTAGTAGTAGTAGTAGTAGTTTGTTATTTTAATAATTGTTTTTTGGTAAATTTTGGTAAAATGCTACTGCTTGTCAAAAAGATAGACATAATTTCAGTGTAAGATATCTTTTGTATTTATTTTCTTATTTTCCCATGCTACATTTCCCCAAGCAATTCTGAGGCTACAGCTCAAGTCTGAAATACAACTGCTAAGGATCAATAAGTGACGTCACCGCCATAAAAGCCTCAGGTTCTCAGGCACTTATTGCAAAAGTCCTGTCACCGTAGGTCTTGAGCCGGGACCAGGGACGGACTGAGACAAAAATTCTGCCCTGGCACTGGAGCCACACTAGCCCACATTACCACGCACACGCATCTCCACCAACAAACACATGCATTTACTATTTACATTTTTAAAACGAGAAATAATATAAGCAGTGCCATATGTAACAGATAAACATTTAATGTATGTGACTTGCAAACAATGCTTACTACTTTAAAAAGAGCACACACTTGTAACAAATTTACACATGCAGTAGAAACTACTAATGTAGAGTTTAGTACAAACCCAAAGTACAATTTTATATGATATATATGTTTTCGGCAGCACGGTGGTGCGGTGGTTAGCACTGTCGCCTCACAGCAAGAAGGTCGTGGTTGCCCTGGCCTTTCTGTGTGGAGTTTGCATGTTCTCCCCGTGGGTTCTCTCTGGGTACTCCGGCTTCCTCCCACCATCCAAAGACATGCATGCAATTGGCAACTCTAGATTGTCCTTAGGTGTGAGTGGTTGTTCGTCTATGTGTGGCCCTGCGATGGACTGGGTGTCCAGGGTGTACCCCACCTTGCGCCCGATGTCAGCTGGGATTGGCTCCAGCCCCCCTGCGACCCTGTATGCAGGATAAGCGGTTGATGATGGATGGATGGATATATGTATATATGTTTTCTTCATACCTCCACCCCACTTTTCCCTGTCCCTGATGGCGTACAGTAGCATCCACAGCACTGGTACTTGAAGAACAGGGGTCTCTGGCTGTTTCTTCTTATATTCTCCTTCTATATTTTTGTAATCATTTGAGACACCCTGGACATTAAAGTGCTTACTATTATGCCGAAAAGTATTACTTTGTTAGTTTGTATGGTTATCTTGGTCAGCCCACTATAATAGCCTACTATGTTTTGTGATTGTCATTAAAAATACTTTGTGTCACTTGAAAGGCAGAGAAAATTTACAGTTTTTCTCAATTGTTTACACACAAATTCTGGTACTTGAGACACAATGACCACAACATGTAACTCATTCACCAACCCCCTGAACCAATTCTGCTAAACTACAAGCACAATTCCTGCTTTACACTGAAATTGCAGTTCTAAAACACACTTTTTTCAAAACACTACACACAATCCTCTGCTTTTGGCACAAGTTTCATGCAGAAAATATCTTGTTTTCACAAAGAACACACTGCCATTCAAATATGCACACAGACTCATCACAAATGCAAACACCCGTCACATAGTTTTCCAATTAGCAATCAGAGCTTTAGCATAAAAGGGAAACAGGTGAGCTCTTCAATGGAGCAATGGATGCCAACATTGGAAACAGAGGCAGAGCCAAAGGAGTGAGAGTGAGAGTGAGAGTGAGAGTGAGAGTGAGAGTGAGAGGACGGCCAAGGACCGTAATCTCTGATGAGATCCATACCACTTTGGTTGATCATGTGGTCAACCATGGTCTAACAATGAGGGAGGCTGGGCAAAGAGTACAGCCAAATCTGAGCAGGTACACTGTAGCATCCATCATCCGGACTTTCTGAAATGAGAATAGGTAAGAAATCTACTCTCACTAGCAAATTGCAGTACTGCATATCAATACAGTACTCAATGAGTACAGTAGTACAGTATTGCCTGTGGACAGTTCTGTAGGACTGTAAAAATACTGTAAAGTATGTTTCAAGTATTTAGGAAATGTATACCTACTTTGTATTTAAGTATTTTACAATTTGTTTGGCAGAACTGAAAGATTACCAACACAAGGTGGTCGGGGACTTCTTCTGTCTCCTGAACAGGAAACTGAAATCATAAACATGGTCCTAGAAAACAACGCCATAACATTACAGCACAATACAAAGAAAAATAATAGAAAACAATGACATATTTCAAAATATTGATAGGGTAAGCTTATCAACACTGGACCGTGTCTTGCGCAGAAATCATCTCAGGATGAAGCAGGTCTACAGGGTGCCATTTGAACACAATTCAGAAAGAGTCAAAGAATTGCACACCACAATTGATGCATACACTCAACACTGTATACAGTAAATTATACATATTTCAATATTGTAATCATAATGATTGTGCTTCACAATAGTGACCACTCCATGTCTATTTCTGATATTCATGTGTGTTTCAGAGAGTCCTTGAGCTAGAGGTGGCTGCAGTTTCTGCAGGTTGCAAAAATGCAGGATATTTGCAATAATTCTGTTTTGAATGTGTTTTTCACAGTTTTGAACAAAGTGTGTTAGCATTTGCAAAATGTGCTGCAGATATATAGTGTTTTGCAGGTGGAGAAGTTTATAATAAAGTAAAACTTTATTGTTGTTTGGTATCCTTACGTGGAGCATGTGTTTTGCTGTGAGACAGTTGTTTTATGGTGTTAGTGGACTGCATGTCGTTAGCTGCCGTGTTGTCGCTGTAGTACGAGAGAGGCTCGGGAGCGCGCACAGGGCTGAATCCGACCCGGAGTCCCCACATTAAAAGCAGAATAGTGGCTGATGCAAACAACGGGGAAAACAGGTGTGTGCTTCATTTCAATAAGGCAATGAAAACTTGATTAGTTTCATTGAAAAACTTACATATAGTCCCTTTAACCTCTAGTTGCTCCAGAGGTGCAGTCGCTTTAGATAAAAGTTGTCTTTTTTCAGCATGAGTAATAAATAAATTACTATTTTCAAATTTCATGAACCTAAGTCTCCATTTTTGGTTTCTCACCCTGTATGGAACCTCAATATGCTTTCTTTTGTTTGTCAAACAGAAATGGAAATCACCTTTTTGCACTCTGCCTTTGAATAACAAATAAAATATATTTGCATGGCTGCAAGTTCCTTACTCTGACTATGTGTTGATGAACTGGCTTTGTGCCCATGTCCATCAGAATCACGAATGGTTGATTTACTCATTCATCTATGTGTGTATGTATTTGTTGATGATGTAATTATTGATTTATTCTATTTATTTATCTATCTATTTTTAACACAATCCTTTTTAATGTTTATCACCTATTTATCATGTATTTATGGTGATTTGCAAGCTTTACTTGTTGATTGCTGGTATGTGACGTGTGTGGTATATTGTGTAGTGCTGTGTTTCTGCGAATGTTAGCTGAAGGTTTTAGAGTTAAATTGAGTTTGTAATTCCCTTGTGCTACATAGCAGACAATATACATTACACTGTAATCCCAAACAGTTGTACTAGCTCATAACTAATGAGGTCATTACAGTCAAATGTCCTTATGCAGTTGACCAAACTATAAAGTATTGAGCTCTGTTGAGATTTATGCCACTTTAATTGAATAGGGCTCAAAATTTGATAGCTAATTTCGGTGGAACACTCAAAAAGTTTAGGAACCATACAGTTGTGTCAGGACGTTATTGACGTCAGGACGTTTGGTGGGTGGGTCTTATCTCTCCCTCAGGAAAGCTGAATCAGCCATCTTGAATTTGCCTTCATGCGGTGAAGTTTTCATGGAAGTTTTGGAAAGCCCCACAGTTTAATTTGTTTTTATTTGTTTGCAATGCGCACTTTTATCCCCTCGCTTCAAACCACCACCTCAGTTTTTTTCATCATCATTGGCCTGCCTTTTTTTCCAGCGCTGTCTTATTATCAGCCCTGATTTGGTAAGTAACTCTAATGTTTTTTAATTGAATTTCGATAAATAGTCTTACATTTGGAACTGGGAATACATGTGTACAATGTGCACAGTGAATATTTGTTGTAAATAGTTTACAAATCCAAGTAATTGTAACTTTAGAAGTTGTTGAATCTGACTTACAACGGTGTAAAGTTATCAGCGGGTTTCCTGGAAGAACTACATTTCCCATAATGCATGTTTTCCCGGGAGATGACGTGGGGGAACGACCATGAGTTTGAACTGTCTCGTGGAGTCTGAAACGTTCTTTATGTCTATGGTCCGAAAGCATAACGTTAACTTATCCCTGCTTCCCGGTTTCTGCCGGTTGTTGTTTTCACTGTTCGCTGGTAATGCATGTGAGTAACGTTATACTTGTTTCAATAAGTGTCCGCGTTACATAGTCAATATTTTAAGTTGTCGAGCTGTGTGTTTGTGCAGCGTGAATCTAACAATGCTAAACAACATAATGTGAGTGTGTTATCATGATGCTAACAAGGTCTATGTGTGTATTTTTTTGTAGCTCAAGTGTGTGGTTGTGAGATCATCATCTAGAAATCCTTTTTAAAAGTTCAGGTAGGATGTATTATGAAATAGTGTTATTAACAATTGGTTTTATTTTATGTGTCATTTCTTTAAATGTTTTTATCTCAACTGTGGGTCCACAGTTGATCACTTGAACCCTTTATTAATACTTTGTTAAAAAACAACAACAACGGAAATAGCATAAGCACACAACTTTGATGTTGTGCTTGTTAATAACTAACTTGCCAACTAACTTTTAACCTTTTCATTTTACTATAATTACTGTAGCCTACAATTAATGTTTTTCATAGATTTGGAAACTTTTTTTATCTGTAAATTCACTTTTTAAAATTTCATTTATCATTATGTATTATTTTAAAAATGTTTTTTTGAACATTAACTAATCATCTTTGAGTGCATGTTGTGTATAGATATTGGACTTCAAAGAGTGCTACGGAGAGTCAGCGTTTCACCATCACACAGTTGGTGTCTGATAGGTGAGTTTTGTAAATTGTTTACTTTACATGATTCAGAAACAGATTATTTATAGATTATATTCAGACAACTATAAGAAACCATAGTGTGAATTGCCTGGACTGTGCCCTGAGGTTAAGTGATTATTCCATGAACAACATTGTCATCTCATCAGAGATTGACATCTTGACAAGATGTATTTTATCAGAAAGAGGTACCTTTAAAAGATACTTTCAGCTTCAATTTGAAGATGTCCAAATAACTATTGTTTTCGTGAAATTTTATTTTTTTTTCCTTTGTGTGTTATTAAAGTATTTACAATAGAAAGTAATTCATTTGAAAAATATTTAACTAAAGAAATGGTTAACCATAAATACTGAATCTACCATCTATAGCAATGACCACCATCAGAATATGGAGCCATTTAACACTTTTTTCTTTTCTTTTTATAAGTGTTTGCGCTGCATTTGTGTAATTACTATTGTAATGTCTATTTTTTGTCCATCTAGGAACAACGTGATGTAAATATGAGACGGGATCTCGTCCTTCGTGCACTTCCTTGGTACCTGCGTGAAGATGCCTCCAAGTTCTTCAGGACCTGTAATGTAAGTGTACTGGCCTCACTATCAATCCCTTTGCCTAGCTATTCAGTCAGCTTAAACATATGACATCACTCCAAAAACTATAGGAGAACCAGGCGGGTATTTCAGAAAGCAGGTTATGTGAACCCTGAGATGAGGGAAACTCTTGAGTTATCCAAAACAGAATTTTGATTCATTTAGATGAGCTCTTACTTCGGCCGCACAGTGAATATCAGACTACACGTCATTGCTGACGTGCTCTCAGATCAGAACAATCGTCTTTTTTTTAGCTTTTTTTTATCACTTTGCAGGTTTAATCAGTCACCTTCCAGCAGCCAGAAAAAGATAAATAACTAATAATACTATAATATTTAGAGTTGAATTACCTAACTCAGATCAGCTGTTCTGGAACTGAAAACTCAGGGTAAGTCAACTCAGAGTTCAGGGTTAGGCTTAGAGTTTGTTGAACCTCCCTTCTGGAATAACCCCAGACCTGTTTACGAAGTTCACTTGAGTTGTTATTCTCAAGTAAACTGTTATTCTCAAGTTATTATAAATGAAAAGGTAAGTATAAAGCATTCCACAAAAAGTATACTAACAGATGGTGTAAAACTAACATAAGATATAAGCATATGTAAAGAAAATAGTTTAAACATGTAGCTTAGTTGCAGTCTAAGTGCCAGTAATGTTTAGAGATCATTAGCATAATTTGTATTCAGGGGCTGAACTCATTCTTGTATTACTTGTGTTTATAGTCAGGAGATGGTCCAGACCTCACTGACACTCCAGTGGCTCTCCTGACAGTCGTAACGGATAACACTACTGATGCGGCCCTCTTCAGCCCTGAGAGCATCTGTATTGTCGTGGAGGATGAAATACTTGCGAGTGGTTCCACAAATCTGGCTGACTCATTTCTCCTGCTCTTTGGGTACGTCTATGCACTAGACCTACAGTACCCAAAGAATCTCGAGCATTTACATTTATACAAAAAGTTGTAATGTGTCTTGAGGACAACATTATAACTACTACTGACGCTGAAGAATGATTTGTTCAATGAGTGAATCACTCAGAATGGACTATTTCTTGAGCTGAGTATTGAGGACGTTTGTTGTTTTTGCCTCAGATTTAA